AAAAAAAAAAAAAAAGTAATAAACCATCAAAAACTCAAATTTAACTCATTTTTTAACCCAACCTCACTATTCTTAATATTGCCGATATAATTAAATATATCAAACAATCATTTTTACACATCACATCAACTTTAATTCACTATTCATCAACCCACATAATTTTTTAGCTAACCAACACTTCCAATCATCTATCTCATAATTTTACATCAAACCAACTTTAATTATTTTATTTTAAATAAAATTTAAATTTAAATTCCGGTTTTTTTTTTTCAAATTAACTATGGTTAAAAAATCCCAATCAAAGACCAATCAAATCCATATCCAATCACACCCTTAGTAAAATTTAAATTTGGGTTGGTTTATTTTCGTATCAACAATGGGTGATGTGGAAATCTGTTGGAAATGGCTGTTTCATTGTTATAAATCGAGATCTACTTGCCATTTGTCCCATCTGACAATGGCCTCTGTACCATTTTGTACTGAATAGGTTTTTTATGGGAACTTAAAGATGATTTGATATAAACAAATGTTACGGTCGTCGAGCTTGCGTTTAGTGGAAGTTATGGATAAATGTGTTGTGATGATCGGATAACTTTTTTTTTAAATATATATTTTATTTTTTGTTTTCTTGTACTTATTGTTGTCCTTTCTATGATTGGTAGGATTTTGGGACATGTATGATCCGGAAGGATACTCTCTGTGGTTCTGTGACTACAAATACAATGACGAGAACACAGTCTCGTTTGTCACCTTAAATAAGGTTAGCGGCTTCTTGCAGAGGATGGACCTCGCTCGAAAGTACGCTTTCGGTAAAATGCTCATCATTGGCTCGGAGGCTCCTTACAAGGTCAAAGGGCTGTGGCTGTTCCGTGGCACTGAGATTCCCCAGTTTGTTCTGGACGAGTGTTACGACATGGAGCTCTATGATTGGGCCAAGGTGGACATCAATGATGAGGCCCAAAAGGAGCGCGTGAACCAGATGATTGAAGATGCCGAGCCCTTTGAGGGCGAGGCCTTGTTGGATGCAAAGTGCTTCAAGTGAAAGGATGATGGAGGTTTGTTTTGGGGAGAATTTTCGTTTATGGTGATGAATTCTAAGTTATATTCGGTTTTGACGGTCTTGAATTTTGATGTGTGCGGACTGTGGTGTGGTGAGGTTTAAGCTGAGTTTCTGAACAAGTGTATGTGGGGAGGCTTTTTATCGGAGTTTGGACCTTTGTTTTGGATCATTTTGACGTTTATTATTATTATTATTATTATTATTATTTTTTTTTTTACTATATAGGGCATTATTTGAATTAAATTAAACAATAATACAGCATCTGGGAATAGGAAAATTGACGTTTTTGTAGTAGAATCATGAGAAAACCAATTCAAATTTGGCTTTCAATTCAAAATTGAGAAGACCATACAAATAAATTAAATACATTTAAATGACGACTTTTTAGACCCAACATTTTCTTTTGGTACAATAAAGGTCACATGGTAGAATTTGGCGGGAATAAGACACCCCTATGTTATCATGCTCCAATCAAACCTCGAGCCCCGTAGGCATAGGTGGAATGTTTGATCTTTTAAGACACCCTTATGTTATCATGCTCCAGCCAAACCTCGAGCCCCGTAGGCATAGGTGGAATGTTTGGTCTTTTCAGACCAAACATTACATACAAAATATGGTTCACTTGGTCAAATCAGACCCCAATGAATTATTGAATCAATTACAATCAACTTGAAAATCAATCCAACTATTACCCCCCTATAACCAAACTCTGGACTCATTCAACCCAATCTTTAATTGTTTAACGAGTGTCACCGCATATTAGGTCACGCCTGAACTAAGCATCAACAGGTGCTCATTATTTTCATCAGTTAGTTTAAGGGACAAAGTAGGTCCCACAGATCAATTATTTATACTTTTTGAATAAAATAAAAATAATTTTTTTAATTTTTTTTTTATGTAGTAATGCAAAATAAAACAATATAATTTGGTGGCAAAAGGTCAAAATTGGCAGACAAGCTCCACCAATCAGGCACTTAGACAAGTGAGCAGGGGACTATAAAATGGTGGCAAGATTGTGAACTTAAATCACAAGAACACATTTTTTTTTCATTTTTCTATTTCAAAACATTTGTGCAGAAACATGGAGAGCAAATCAAATGAGGGGCAAGAAAAGCAGCAAATCCCACTCCTCACACCCTACAAAATGGGGAAGTTTGAGCTTTCTCACAGGTACTCACCATCCATCACTGCTAAGGGTGTAAACCAGCCGAGCTCGAGCCAAAATCGAGTTGAACTATAAAAAACACATAAAAATCATCTTTTCGAGCTTTGTGTGTGTGTGTGTGTGTTTGAGGGTGTGTTGAAGAACTTGTTTGACCATGTTACAACAAAACCTACTTGGATTTATGGGTTAAAATAACAAAAGGTCCTATGCAATGCTGTCACTTGCTAATTCTACCCATTGCATAAAGATTCCATTTTTTAATAAAACAAGTTTAGCTTTTTACCTGTAGTTTCTTTACTGGGGGTGTTTATTTATGACAAAACCCACTTGGGTTTATGTCTAAAGTTAAAACCTTAGCAAATATTCACTTACTAGCTCTGCCCATTAAATAAAGATCTCAACTTTATTAGAATATGCAGCTTAGTATTCATCTGTAGTTTTCATCAGTCATTAGACAAACTGTTTGTCGAAATCTCAGCAAATTCGACTCTATCGATGAGTGTAACGTCTCACCGAATTTTTTTATCGTTTGTGGTGAAAACCCGGTAAGGTCAGGTAGGGTTGATCTTTAATCATTGACTGATAAGAGTGTGTAACTCACATTTTTCTAAATCATTGAAAAGTATAATCTTGGCAGAATTGTTCTGGCACCACTGACTAGGCAGAGATCCTATGGCAATGTACCTCAGCCACATGCTGTATTGTATTACAGCCAAAGAGCAACAAAAGGTGGTTTTATGTTGACTGAAGCCACTGGAGTTTCTGATACTGCACAAGGGTAAATTATAATTTGAATATTATTGGCATATCCTTGTTTGTTTTGTTTGTTTGTTTGTTTTTGCTCAGATACCATTATTGTTATTATTATTATTTTGCGGTCCTTTTCAGGTACACATATACTCCAGGTATATGGACCAAAGAACAAGTTGAGGCATGGAAGCCTATTGTGGATGCAGTTCATGCTAAAGGTGCAGTTTTTTTTTGTCAATTGTGGCATGTTGGCAGGGTCTCAAACACAGGTACATTTTGTGTTCTGAGAGAACTAAAATAGTTCTTCTAAGTTTGGTCTTGCTTTACATCCCAAGATGATTATTATTGGATGTGTTTTTGTTATAGGGCTAGTGAAGGTTTTTGTATGGCCTCTGGTGTATGACTTGTTTGAGTTTTCAAAATTTTTCAGATTTTCAGCCAAATGGACAGAATCCAATATCATGCACAGACAAAGGAGTAACTTCACAGTATAAAGCCAATGGCTCGGATCTTGTGCATTTTTCTCCTCCGAGACGTTTAAGAACCGACGAGATCCCACAAATCGTCAATGATTTCAGACTCGCAGCAAGAAATGCTATAGAAGCTGGTAAACATATTAAGACTGTATTTGATAGTCAAATAAGTTAGCTTATAAACTTCGTGTATTCAAATAAGCTTTGTTTGACCTCGAGCTTATCTCATAAGCTTCTTTGAGTAGTGCTCGTCGAAATTTTTATTTTAGCTAGCTTATCAGCTAATTTTACTCAACAATTTTATCATATACACTAATTTTTCAGTTATAAGTCCTAAGTTATAAGATATAATCTCGAAAATCACTTATCCGCCATCAACTAGTTTTAACAAACATATCCTAATATCATGAACTACTTTTCTTGATTCTCCCAGGTTTTGACGGGGTAGAGATCCACGGGGCCCACGCCTACCTAATCGACCAGTTTCTCAAGGACCAAGTCAATGACCGTACGGACCAATACGGAGGATCCCTCGAGAACCGTTGCCGGTTTGCACTCGAAATAGTCGAGGCCGTGACTAACGAAGTCGGGGCTTATCGAGTCGGCATTAGGCTATCCCCTTTCACGGACTTCATGGAGTGTGTCGATTCGAACCCTAGTGCTCTCGGGCTTTACATGGCCCATGCACTAAACAAATACAATGTCCTTTATTGCCATGCAGTCGAGCCTCGAATGGCAAGTGCCGAGGAAAAATCACCGGCCCACCACAGCCTTGTCCCGATGCGGAAGGCTTTTAAAGGCACGTTTATTGCGGCCGGAGGTTACGATCGTGAGGATGGAAATAAGGCCGTGGCTGAAGATCGTGCGGATTTAGTTGCTTACGGCCGGTTTTATTTGGCGAATCCTGATTTGCCGAAAAGGTTTGAGATCGATGCGGGGCTTAATAAATACGATAGGGAGACTTTTTACACGGCTGATCCGGTTGTTGGGTATACTGATTACCCGTTTCTTGAACAAATCGCGTGATTATTTAGTTCTCCATTGTTTTTTCATTGTGATGATTTGAAGAATAATGAGTAATGTAATGCACATTTGCAGTGTAATGTAATGCAAATGCAGATTCAAGTGATGTCAAGTAGAATTAAATTCCCTCTTATCGAACAAATGCTGAGTTAATCTCATGAAAACAGCAAACACACAAAAATGAAGTTGAAAATCAAATGAATCTCATTCAGTAACTTTTATTCTCACTTTTTAAGCTTAATGTGTCCGTCACACTAGAAAAAAATTAAATGTAATTATATGACTTAAATTTAATTGATATTGAAACAGTAAAATGATGTTTGGAATATAATTTAACGTTAAAAATATACGACCAGGCAATTGGTGAAATTAGAAAAATATGTAATATTGATTAACTGACTTGAATACATTTGTGAAAGGTGATATTATATTTGAAGTGAATTTTGTATTTTACGACAATTTTACATAGAAAAAAAATAAAAATAAAATTGTATTGATAAAGAATTTCGTGTTATTATGGAACTTTGTCTCACAATTTCTCATTACTAATTTCGACAAGGTCAGTGACTCGGTAAAATCACCAACAAATAGTTAATTACATCACTTCTCGTGGCTAAATAAGTCTGAGTCGAGCTCAACTCGTTATTGGTGGTATGGAATTCGAACCTTAACAAGTCGAAAAAGTATAAAAATATTTTTATGTTTAAGGCTTAATTAGCTTGAATAAAACGAGTCAAATCGAACTGTTGGTTAAGAAATATAAAGAAACTTTTATTAGAAATCGGGTTAGGGTTTTCAGTCTTAATAATTTGGGAATTTGGGGCTAATGTAATGCTAGGTCGTCTCTCTCGTCCATGCTCTCACCTTCCCCACCCAAAGTCTGATTTGCTAACATCCGACTGGGTTTTGAGTAAAAGGGTTCAAGCTACGGCATTTTCCAGCTCGGCGCCATGTCTTCAACCTTGGAAATTGAGGCCAGAGAGTAAGTTTTGTTTGTCCATCTAATTACATAATATATCTGTATGCCCACATGCTCGTATTAGAGTTAATAACATAGCACGACCTGCATTATCGCTTTCGTTCTGAACTAAAGTCGAGAGAGCACGAAAAGCTCAGAACTTTCTGGAAGACTCGAGCTTTAAGAGTACAAGTTTCTGTAATCGGAGCTGGAAGTTGGGCTATGATTTTGGGATTTGCGCACATTTATACACATTTGGTCTTATGTTTTTGGGTACGAGAAAGAGGGTAATTCACCCTTTTTGTATATTTTCTTCTGTACCTCATGGACGTTTTCTGCCTAAAGGATTGCTTGGTTTTTATGGCATGAAGATATGGATTTATTTACACGATTTTTCATATCGTGGGCAACGTATATGTTGGTTTGGGTCTCTTTGCCTGTACTAGCTTGCGTTCCAAATCATGTAAATCCTACCCTTGTATACCATTTTTGTGAATGATTTTTGTTTTAGTGTGTATTATATGTTGTGCTTGCAGTGTGATCAAGATTGTACTTCAATTCTGCAAAGAGAACTCGCTGCATCAAACTTTCCAAACACTGCAAAACGAGTGCCAGGTTTCTCTAAATACTGTAGACAGCCTTGAAACATTCGTTGCTGATATTAATAGTGGAAGGTGGGATGCAATTTTACCTCAACTCGCGCAACTCAAGCTTCCTCGAAAGAAATTAGAAGACCTGTATGAGCAGGTAGGCCAATGCTTCTCTGTATTTTATTTTTTTATTAATTTTTTTATGTTCTGCATGGTGATTTATAATTCGTCTTTGTTTTTTTGTCTGTGTGTAGATTGTTTTGGAAATGATTGAACTTCGGGAGATTGACACAGCACGCGCAATATTAAGACAAACCCAGGTGATGGGTGTCATGAAACAGGAGCAACCAGAGCGGTATTTACGACTTGAGCATCTACTCGTTCGGACTTACTTTGACCCGAATGAGGTGAGGTGTTCTTTTCTTCATTCTGGAGGCTTTCCAAATCTATTTCAGGCCTTGTAATTTCATCTGGTTTATTTGATATGTATACTACTACAATCTAATTTGCATTTGGGTCATGTAATTTTATTCAGTTACTTGAAGACCCTGGAATTAAACTATTATCACCATAGGTTCCATTTTGTAACTGTATTTGTTACATAAGGTCCTCTACTGATTATTTTTTTGTTCATCAACCTTTCTATAATCCCACTACCATGATACATTGATTCCTATGGAATCAAAAATGATTTTTGAGTTATAACCTTCTACAGTTCTTCCGTAATGGGTTGTGGAGTTATGTATTTTATGTCGTGTGCAGGTGTACCAAGACTCAACAAAAGAAAGGAGACGTGCTCAAATTGCGCAAGGTTTTTCGTTGATATATTTTGTTTTCTTAATTGGCGTTTTTTTCTACAACTTTACCTGAGGAAAAGTCATAATCATCGCAATTGATGGAAAACTTTGTAGCACAACACTATTTCACTGTTATTGGATTTGGGGATGGCGTGAGGTTTCTGTACATGTTTAACTCTTTCACTTTCCCTCCCTGGTATTTCCTTTATGTATGTTCTTTCACATGCAATCTTCAACTTTATTTTCAGCTGTTGCAGCTGAAGTTTCGGTGGTTCCACCTTCACGATTAATGGCTTTGATCGGTCAAGCTCTGAAGTGGCAGCAGCATCAAGGTCTCATAAGATTTACAATTACACCTACCATCACATTTTTCAAAATGTTCGTCATAAGTTCTGAAGTTTTACATATACGAGGAAATGTCAGACATGATCGTATGTGTCTTATGTTCTCATTTGTTTGCGTTCAGGTTTATTACCACCTGGAACACAATTCGATTTGTTCAGAGGAACGGCAGCCATGAAACAAGACGTAGAAGATATGTACCCAACAAATCTGGGACACACTATTAAGGTAAGTCAGTACATATAAGTTTGCATCTGGACATCGACTTCATATTTTATTTGTATCTCATGTGATATGCTCTAATTTTATTTGTTTCTCATGTAGTTGTTTTGCTCATTTAGTGTTAAATTCCTGTTGCAAGTTGTTTTACTATTGCCCCATTTTAATTGTGTGATTGGCTTTTTGGCCTTCACTACTACTGAACTTCTCTATTTTCATGATATTCATTTTGAGGCTTTGTGTTTCACTTGCTTGTTAGTATGCCTCTTACTAAACAGAAACAACAGTATTTACCTATCAACTATTGTGTTATTTCTGTCTTCTGATCTGTTGTAATGTCTCTGTTACTATATATGCCATTGTACCTTGACTGCAGTGGTTATTTTCTGTAGTTTGGGAAGAACAGTCATCCTGAATGTGCTCGGTTTTCTCCAGATGGGCAATTCCTTGTTTCTTGTTCAGTTGATGGATTTGTCGAGGTAATTTTTAGTGAATTATCTCCTTTTCTAATACTTTTTTATTTAAGCTATGCGTTGATAATCTTTATACGCTAACGCTATAGGTGTGGGATCATATAAGTGGAAAATTAAAGAAGGATCTGCAATACCAGGCTGATGTAAGTTGCATTTTATCTTTTTGCATGGCATGGATGAAAGATATGGTTTACCTGCATTTTGGTTGAGTACTTAAGTTCTGTGTGTGTTTTTCTCACAGTATTTGTCCTTTACCTAATCGTATGATTACTTTTCCTTAACAATATTATACTAATAATTTGGAAACATATTATAACCAAATTCACGAAATTTCCATGGAGGCGAGCCTAAAACTACACATTTGGTTCTTAAATTTGTTCTGTGCACTTAACGGTGAGAAAATTGTCAGGAAACATTTATGATGCATGATGAGGCTGTTCTCTGTGTTGACTTTAGTCGAGACTCTGAGATGCTTGCTTCTGGATCACAGGATGGGAAAATAAAGGTAAGGTTTATTTGAGCTCTTATCCTCTTTTGATGTATATTTACCTGTTTATTGTAAGTTACACATAGAGGAATACAAAAGAAAAAGAGAAACTCATGGGAAGGGAAAAATATTTACAGTCCAATGCTGATAAGTTGCACCTGAAATATCATTTATGGTTTTGACTTGCTAGTAATTAATTAAAATTAATATTAATTTCCTATATCCGTATAGGTTTGGCGTATTAGAACGGGTCAGTGTCTGCGCCGTCTTGAACGTGCTCATTCTGAAGGTGTCACTAGTGTCAGCTTCTCTCGAGATGGGACTCAGTTGTTAAGTACATCATTTGACAGCACTGCAAGGTTTGTCTGAATTTATGAATACTGACAACAAAAAAGCTCCTCAATTCATAAGTCTTTTTATTTATTTTTTCATATTTTGGCAGAATTCATGGCTTGAAGTCAGGTAAGATGCTGAAGGAATTTCGTGGCCATACATCTTATGTTAATGATGCCATCTTTACTGCTGATGGCACACGAGTCATAACTGCATCTAGTGATTGCACGGTGAAAGTAAGTTACCTTTGTTTGTATCTATCAATCAGAGGCAAATTTTAGCCACCCTGTTAAACTTTTCTGGTTGTGATGTGTTAATATAATTCAGGTTTGGGATCTGAAGAGTACAGATTGTGTGCAGACGATCAAACCTCCACCTCCTTTGAGGGTATTTCCTTTATTTATTTATTTTTTTTCCTGGCATCACTCATTTCCCCCCTCTAATATTTTGTACATTTTTCGAAACCATTTTTCATCGCCATATGCCATGTGCAACTTTTTTAGCTGATCTTCTTGTTTTATATGATGCAGGGAGGTGATGCATCTGTTAATTCTGTTCATCTTTTCCCTAAAAATGCCGATCATATAGTAGTTTGCAACAAGACTTCGTCTATATACATAATGACCCTCCAAGGGCAGGTAACTCCAAATACACCTTTCATTGGTAGTTAAGAAAAATGCCCAATACAAAGAAAGAAAAAAAAAAGAGAGAGAAAAGGAAAAGAACGATGAAGTTTATAGAGTAGCTTGGAGACTTTGATCAGCTGGTCTTAAAGATTTATTGCCATGTACAGCATTATTCACGGAAAATGGGTGTTACCGTTGATGTGCTTTCATTTTATTTAGTTATTATTTATTTTTATTTTCCATCTGATTTTATTTATCTATTTATTTTTGTGAAGGTTGTGAAAAGTTTCTCATCCGGTAAGAGAGAAGGTGGAGATTTTATGGCAGCTTGTGTTTCACCAAAAGGGGAATGGATCTACTGCGTCGGCGAGGACAGGTATTTTCACTTTTCTTGCACATAATAGCACAGTAATAGATTAGTTCATCTTAGTATACATTTTTTAATTTCGAAACGTTTTTTTCTTTTTAATCTCTTATAGAGCAACAACAGCAATAGCTTCATATCCACCCTCTCCTGATGATTGATTCTAAAGCCTTCTCCTGCAACATTTTTTATTTTTTTTATTAATGTTATATTATAAGGAGTGTGTGTAACACTTATTTATTCAATTGTATGCAGAAATTTGTATTGCTTCAGTTATCAGTCTGGCAAGCTTGAGCATTTAATGAAGGTAACAATAATTGCTTAAGCTTACCTCGTATTGTTGTTATCTTCTTCTTCTTCTGGCCTATAAGCCCCCCAGGCTTTCTGCTAATCGCAAGATAACCACATTAGTTTTTGAAAATTACGACATTTTTATAGAAAAACATTGCAGCTACTCCCTTAATTTTATGAAAAAGTCAAATCTCAAGTTTCATTTTGATTTTCTTTGGTTTCCTTTTCCTCATCTTGCAATGTATAGAAACCTATGGGGTTCACTGTAATTAGACCAAGTATCAGGGTGTCTTCTGTCATTATCTATATTTTCTGAATTTTTCTGCTTGTTCCATGGCGGATCCTCTACTCTAATTTTTATATATATATTTTAATTTTTTAAAATTGATAAAAATTAAAATATTTTTATTTTTCTTGTATTGACAGGTACACGAGAAGGATGTGATTGGACTCGCTCACCATCCCCATATAAACCTCGTCGCCACTTATGGCGAAGACTGCTCACTGAAATTATGGAAGCCTTAACAGCTCTAAATTTAATACTGCAAATTTTCCTTTTTATAACTACAATGAGCAGTATTTCTTGTAGATCTTAAGAATATTGTATCTTTTTAAGCTTAAGAAACAAAAAGATATTGCCCTTTTCATTTATACATCGTTTGCCAGATAGTGTTGTTTAATGAAACATGTATCTCGTGAATTTTACCCTGTTTTGCTTGTTAAGGCTCGAGCTCGTTCAATTAACGAGCTGAGCTTGGCTCAACTCATTAAAGCCTATAAGAAATAAGAATAAGGTTTTTTATGTGTGATTTTTTTTTTTTTAAATTCTACTTTAGCTCGATTCATTAAGACTCGAGTTCATTTATCTAAACAAGCTCGGCTAGATAAAGGTCCGAGCACCAATTCGGGTATTAGAAGCTTTGTTCGGCTTGTTTATGGCTCTATCTACCAAATAATAATTCACCTAAACTTCTTTTTTTTTTTCTCTTTTTTTAATATTTTAGAGTTTTGGAAACTGTTGGTTTTATGACAATAGAGTTAATGCAAGAACCTGTGTATCAACTGTGTGCCATGCCCATGCAAATATTCAATGAAAGGTAAATGTTGATTTAACAAAGTCAAACAAATTTCTATCTTTTGTGTAATTTGATTCTATCCTACTGTTGGAATATATAATTGAATTTAATGCTAACTGTTAGAATATAGAAATATATAATTTGTATTTAATGCGTATGAAAAATGAATGACAATAGACATAATTTGACCGCCCACAACAGCCAATCACCTTTCAAGTATTGGACTTGTGCATTTGCACATATGTAAATAAATATTGTGAGTTATTCGAGTCCTTGTGAATGCAAAAAATCCTTATTGGGAGACTCACCCACCATTGTCAGGTGTGCGACCCGAGTCGACTAATGGAAGTCGGGACAACGCTCCGAATACCGTGGCTGGCTATCAAAAAATAAAAATAAAAAATATTGTGAGTTATTTCTATGTATATAATGATTAATTATTTTTCTTTCACCTTTTTGCTGGCCAAATTTACAATTAAAGGAGTTGATTTTTCTTTTTAAATTGTGTTTATCTGATTGGATGTAATGTATATTTTGGTACGTTTTTTTTTGTGGATTATTTATTATTTATTTAGTAATTTCATATACGTTTTTTATTTTAAAAAAAAATAATTTGAATGTAACCACAATAATAACATCTAATAACATTATACGGTCAATACATTATATAGTCGTCTGTCATTAATCAAAAGTATAAAATGAATTTTGTAATTTTGAAGTGATTAGTGTGTTGATTATTTAATAATTAAATGAAAGATTAAATACATCAAAAGTAACGGTTTTTGGAGGGAAAATGATTAAATTGCCACATAGGTAAAATTAAATAGGTTTTATTAAATGCTATTAGATTGTAATTATATATATATAGATTACTTTTGCATTTTCTAATATTTTGAAATATACCCCTTTGTTTAATTTTCATTAAGCTAACATTTCAGCAAATTGCTAGTCCAAAAATTTTAATTGGCTTGTTTGGATAAAATTGGCAATAATAAAAGTTCTTATACTAAATTGCAATTCTAAAAAATAAAAATTAGTGAACCTTCTCCATTTGCATTTGACTTTCTTCTCCAATTTATGTTAAAAAAAACAAAAAAAAAAAAATTATTGCATGTATTTACTGCAAGAATCACACCATACAGGTAAACCCAATTACTCTGCCTCCAACCACCATTTTTTTCCTCTGCCTATTTAAAACCTTCTGCCACCCTACACACATTCACCATATTTTTCACACACTC